CCACGTCCTTGTAGTTATTTTTGTTATTTTATTAAGACAACAGGCAAAAAAAAACAAATTACAGGCTTGCTTAATAATGGGATACACTCTCTGTTGAAGAATATAATATATATTCTACCTTGTACATACAAAATTGATAAATTTCTTTTGAACTCGTTTAATTTTATTTACAAGAAATGTTTGTGAAGGATACCACACCTGAGAACAATACTCAAGGTTTCTCTTCACTAACGTTGAACACAAAGTTTTAATAAGATGGACGGATGGATCAAAAGATTTGCACGTGTGCTTTAGAAAAGCTAACATTTTAAACACTTTGTTTACACAAGTGTTTATATGATCTCTAAAATACAGTTAACTCGTTAATAAAACACCTAAATCGCGTATAGTCGTGGCTCTACTAACAACCTCGCGAATGTTATATATGTGTATATGCGTATTGCTAAAATATATTGTAACCAAATCACCCATACCGAACATATCTATGCACTTTAACTTAAAATAAACAAATGTAATTTAGTGTTTTATTGCGGCAATAGCTGTGACATTTAAATGAAACCACATAAAGCAGAAAGTTCGAAAGAGGCAGTGGCAACGCATTCACATTTTTTTCTAAGGGTCAAGGGTAAGTTGTCATTTTGCACCGTAATTCCCAGGGCTGGCTTGACAATGCAACGTTTCATAAACTTATTTTGTTACTTCTAGCAGATTACGCAGACAGACTATACGTCAATGCTACCCCATACAACGACAGAGATGAATCAGAGTGACCTATCCCGGGTACAGACGTCGATTGTTATGATCGATTCATTTCCGAGCGTCATCGTTCTATTGACGTACTGTAAAATTATGTTTCTATTTATTTATGACGGAGACAATATAAATGGTTTGTTATTTATACGTTTAATAACTATTATAGTTGGGCTTCTTGAGGTTTGTATATTGAACTAATCTCTGACACAGAGCTCTTACATGGCTGACAGGGAATGATATAGCTAATTATCACATGCAAAACTCATATCATCACAGCCCTACTTCACATACTGACGAGGGTTTTTCATTGTACGTGTTGCCTGAATGTTTTCTTCCGACTCCGGAGTTATATTTTCGGAATTATTATTATTCAGTTCCTCGAAAAAAATCGCAGGAAATTTAAAAAAAAATATTCCGAAGAAATTGAACAAATGAATCACCGTAAAGCGTACGCAAGGCGTTCGCGTGAAATAGAACCTGGCACCGTTAACGAAATTAGCATACGTGGCGAGCGCAATCATATATTTGTATTCGGTTTATTTCAATAACAGTTCTACTGTCGATACTCCACCGTTTCACATATGCATGTGTTGAAAATATACTCCCATGATACTTTCTTAGGTTGTAATTAGTATACACTCGTAATTACCGGGGCTCGGATTAATACAAGGCTCTGGCGGTAATCAAAATGACGTGGGTAGGTGTAAGCAATGTTGTTCAAACAACTGTACTTGACTTTATTATCGTTTGTCATTTAGAGTATAGTAAACGCCTATATAACAACAAACAATAGTTTTTATTCATTGACGACCACAGTTCATAACTACAACTTGAATGGCGTCCCTTGCACCTATTTACATCACTGAAGCGCCACCTATATCCAATTCACTCTCATCCACTGAGTGCGTGCCCAAAATCGATAGTTAAGAAAAAAAAAAAAATCTCACAAACAACAATGAAAACGCCTTCTTTTAAGCCGATACTCCTCGACTGTTTGCACATGAGGTTGTTTCTAAATGCTGGTTCAATTTTTATTTATAGATTCATATTAAACCCAGTGTGCTTTGCAGTAAGCATATTAAGGCAGATATTGCTACATTTAGAAATAGGGACTAACTACATCGTTTATGTATCGATTAGATAATATATGTCGTTTATCAGAAATTAAAGTAAATACGGAAAAGATGTGCAATAACAATATCTAGAAACGATTCATGTAAATCAAGGTCAACTATGAGGTTATATCATAAATATATGATTGCAAATTTCTAGCTTTATATAGTTTTTACAGTTGCCAACATTCTTCTTCAAAATATAATGAAATGAATGTGACGAATAGAAATTCTATTGGGTATTAATAACTATTATTTTTAGTGCTTGCCGATTGACTGTTATGAACACCAGTTTTAGTGCAATTTTAGTAGGGCATTTTCCTTATTGAATAACTTTACTTATAATTAGATGGAACAATGCATTGCTAGCTGTTTTGTATATAGACTTGAGAATCCAAGGAGCTAGATCGGAGTATGTCGCCCTCTCGAGTCTATATTTAGAAATGCGGCTATTTATAGAAGTCAAAAACAGAAAGTTAGGGCGGATCACAGTGAATAAGTGCCCAAAGCTTTGCAGTGTTTGCGCATATTTGCCTACCTAAAGCAGTCAAGTGATTACCTAGCGATGTTTAAGTTGTGTTGATTGTCGGAATTTCACATATTATGGTGAGTAAGGCATATTGAACCATAATTTCTTATGAATTTTTGACAACATTTTGAAGTCACAGCTGTATACACGTGAGTCGTTCATGTCAATATATATGTGATGATATTGATGGCATTTCATGTATTAAGTGAAATATTTCATCTATTGTGCCAGTGTGGGAGTTTCTAGCCACGATGACTAAGATTTATAGTAATCTGTAAACAATAACTTGATTACATGAAGTGAAAACAGTGCTTATTTGTCTATCATATCTATGTATATTAAGTGTATCGTTCCTCAATGGTTTATGGAATTACAGTGTCATAGTTTGTGTTCGGACATTTGTTACATCTTTGTGAGGGCGCACTGACAACACATGACAATCCAACAAGGGAACACGCATAATCCACCAGGAAATAGAGAAATTGTTTGAGTTCTACAGCAGGCGAAAACTTCCCAACGTACATTTGAAGAACGTTGTTGCTGTAAGCAACGAAATAGAAGGCACTGTATGTAAATGAATAGAACGCGCTGCATGCAAATGAAGTGAACGCGCTAAGATTCGTAACGCGGGCACATACAGACCAATGCTAGTTTCTGCTGGCGAAACAAATGGAAATGCATCCACGTGATAAATAGGCACGGTACACATGTAAATGACTACACTCGTTTAATAAATACGATAGTACATGTCATTGATTGGATATCGTTTATACCATAACGCATGAGGGCGGTGCTATAGAACAAAACTAGCCAATATTTACTGACAAAAAGCGACACATTTCATACTACACCTTTAGACTTGCTTGCAGGCTGTTGTGATTCCGATGAAAAATATTTGAAAAATAAATATAAATTGCGTAAACGAGAAGTGAACGCGAAAGTCATGTGACCGCGAAATACCAATGACTTTCGCATTCACCCTCGTTTACGGGCAATTTATATTTATTTTTCAAGAATTTGTCATCGGAATCAGAACAGACTGCAAGCAAGTCTAACTACACCACATGTATACGAATACAATTACAGTTTATTTCCCAAATTATCATTGCATACACTCATAGATTGTTTTTGAAACTGGACATGATTCTACAAGAATATCAAAGTATACTAACTCCAACTAAACTAGTAAGACTTAACTTTTTAATCACGTCTATTGCACTAATATGATGAATAGTATCAATGTTATCTTTATTTATACTGAAGTACGTTATATCATGTTGAAAATACAATCCTGATGTGAAAATGCGTAGTAGATAATAACTATAACTATAGCTATAACGATATATAGTTATCTATGTATATAATGTTATTATTACCATTTTCGGTTGGGTTTGTGAGTCAAACCTACAGAATATGTTACAAAGCGTAGATAGTACTAAGCAATTTACAAAGCGAAAGCCGAAATGATCGCCGTGTCAGTTGTCAGTTGCAGTTCGCATTGTTTATTTTCAATATGTGTCAAGGGACGTCGATTTTCTAGCATAACTACGCACCTTCACCCGATAACGTAAAGTCTGAGTGATAAATATTTGTCAGTGAGACAATATATGCATGATAACACGTCGTATTACCAATGCTTTTGGTATTTATTAGTATTCTCTGTGGCCAACATCCGGGTATTTTCATCTCGTCTTTGCTGTTTTCACCAACTCCTCGGCCGGTGTTCTACAGCATCTCATCTACAGCGCAGAGCCCGTAGAAATAGAATATAAATCTATTCGAACCTATTTCAAAACATTTTTCAATAACATTTCCGAAGTGAATTCTTATTTGTAAATATTTTCAAAATAGTTTTTTTTTTGAGCAGCAACATAGTTGCTCCGAATTTCATATTGGCGTCTGTGTGGGCGTTTTCTCACTCTACCGAATGAGCCCAGATTCACAGTCCCACTTCTCTTACTGTCCGTTCAAACTTTTCGCTCAGGCCATTGTCCTTCTATACACAAAAGGTTACATATTAATATATGCGACAAAACACAAATCGCGATGGGGGCTGAAAAATCCTATAAAACTCATAAAATTTGTTATATTAACTTCGTTATCATACTCCTGCTCGTACGTTAGCGGGAATTAGAGGCCGCATTTGGAGAGACTTTCGGCCCTAAAGTAGCTATTATTTCACGTTTAACATACCGGTAGAGGTAAAATAACTGTCAATTTAAGATAATTGATTGTTGAGACTAATAGTAAGTGTATTTTATTTTTTTTTATAATTCAACCATTGATTTTTTTTTTAAATACTGCATGAGAAAAATGGTTCAAAAATACCAACTAGTGATGATTACCATTCCTCACTCACGTTTTTTGGGACTCGTCTTGCTGTCATTTACTTTCTACGCCACGTTAAGTCTCATTTATCTATGATTGAAGAAATACAGACATGATACAAACAACTGACAGCAGATACGCAATCATAAGGGTCACATCTCATCACATCTGCAGCTCAAGATGTTTAATACGTCTTTAAATCCGAACATAATCTGACGCCATCTCAACTTAAAACAGTGCATGTGCAGTCGTGAAAAAGTGTACAACATATACTTCAATTCAAGTCGCCATGACTGGGCGTGTTACGACGAGTGACGATGGTCAGAGTGTGTATAGTCGGTCAGTACGTGGCGGCCTTTATGTTTCTCCAAATACAAATTCCAAATACTGGAAACAAATGCGTTGATTTTATTACTGAATAAGACAAATAATCAATGAACTTTTTGCCATATAATGAAAGTTAATTTTCCAGCTATTGTCAAATATACATGAAATGAAAGAAAAGTAGAAATATTATATAAAATTAATTCTCGTACAAATTAATACATATTGCGGATATATATAATTGTTACACAGGTTCAATAAATCATTACATATCACATGTCTCCCTTTCTTATTTTAAATACCTTGATATATTGTTATTGGAATTTATGAAAGAGGGTTGAATTTATGTAAAATGTATCAATATATACAGACCGCAAGTCGCTGTAAATACTGCATACCAGTAGTAAATGAAGTCCATTTTCAACACAGTTCAGATTTCTTTCCATTTGACTTGATATGTTATTTCAATGACCGGACTCGATATAAATATTGCGTGCTGAGATTCTAAATTCAGTAAGAGCCTGTCTACACAAAGGAGTAACAACACACGTAAAATAATGCTCCAATGTGAAATACGATATACATGTATTTTGATAAACATTATATTAAGATAGTAGATCTGTTCGCAGGCATGAATATAAGTATAACTCCAGCAACGACTAATTTTCACTGGGGTTAATTTTCGCTGATTTACCATTTCAGGCTATTCAGTGGGTTTTAATTTCACGGTTTTATCATTTAGATAATGTGTTCTATGCTAAATTTTACATATTTACTGGGTTTCAATTCAGCGCATTTTCCAGTCAGCGAAATGAGCAAAATTAAAACCCAGAGTGAATAATTAAAGTGGAAATTAGGTTGACAAATGTTGATTTAGAAGTTGTTATATAGATAAGGGGCATCATTTTAACTCCAGAGTCAAAATCGAGTTATTGTCGATATTGTCGTTTTAATTCTGTTACATGTTAACAACTACAGTAGAATCTCAGAATATTGGCAATTCCTCTTCATCATCCTCAGATCTTGGTTGAGAATCAACTGTAGGAGAAGGGCTATAAATATTGTCCTCTGCCTTAGGTATCCACATACGTAACAAGCGTTGGCTAGGTTGTTCCATATACTCTTCTCCGGCCATTACCACCGGCCGCGACAGTGAACCGCGGGGCGTATCATCGTTGGTGTTGGGATCGTATGGCCAACCAGACAAAGACTCGTGATGTGAGTATTCGGACACTGGGATGTCACCTCGGCCTTGAGCTGCTTCCATCGTTCTAGTATAGTAATCACGCTCGGGGGATCTAGGACGATTGCTGGACCACGTTTCGGAAACAGTTAGGTCATCTAGGACGTTGTGATTGCTTTCGTTGGATTTCGTCTTACCCGTTCCACTATTGCGTTGTCTGACCAAGATTACCAGAATCACTAACACTAGTATTAATAATAGTAAAATAGCCACCACAAGTAGAATATTCCAAAGTGCTTCATTATCGTCTAATAAACAAACAGATTACAATAATCACAAGCAAACTTATATTATTATATTTGGCCGGATTAGTTAATATATAAGAAAACAAGATTCAAATATGTCTTTTAATAGATATTTTTATAACTAAAAAATAAATCACTATGTTACTTACCCTTAACTGGTGTCTTTAGTTCTTCTCCTGAAATATAACGACACATAATAATCAGTAACAATAAATTGAATTAAAATTTATTTCTTGAATTTTGACCATTATTAGGAGTAATTACGACATTCTACGGTTTTATACCTGGGCAGCTTTGCTCATTACAGTCTAGACGGACGAACGATCGACCTTCGCAATCTGCGCCACCGTGAGCTGGAGGTGGATTTGTACAACTTCGCTCCATAATTGTTATGTCCTCCTCCACATGTATGTGAACATTCCGTCAATGTTGGATCACTCCAACCACCGTCCACAATAACTACGACCTGTTCCATTGCTGAAAGACCGCCAGGTAAAGTGCCTTCTTTCTTGCCTGTCAGTAAAGTTTCCTCTACTTTATTCATTAGTGCGAGCGTTGCCATGGTTGTGTCACCGTCATCGTCGCTCATTTTAATTTCCTAATATTAGTGAATAAAGTGGGTGAATATTGGCATGTGATACTGATGCATGTAAATAATATTCAGTATTTTTAAATTTAAGATATGTGTATTATACTTACAAGCTGAGTGCGTGTGTCTAATACATCAGATCGTTTTCTACGCTGCGTTTCCTGGATATCTTCATAGTTAAAACAATTCATCCGGGTGCAATTCGGAAAATTCTCTATAGTTTGCTCGAGGTACTTCATTAGATCTCCGCACAATGCCGTAACCGTAGTCGACTAAGAGGGGAAATACAAGTATCAGTTAGAACGAAAGATTACACATTTGTAATAATACAAATTGTGGAACTAATTTCATTTCATGTATTGTTTTTTATTGAGCAGCTAGCACAGTAAAATATACATACCCAAATTTCAGAGAGATCGTATTGTATATCCATAACACCACACTCAGATATAGTGCCAGAATAATGTCCAGCGCACGGTGCACCATCTTCAACACTCTGTTGAGCGGCCTCTTCACCCTTGCAGATAAGTACATCATCACAAATGGTGTCCTGAAGACATTCCGATTCCTGGGCTTGACACGTCAGACCAATTGGGCAGTCGCTGTCACTAGTGCACATGGTGGGCTCGCCCCAGTACTGAAAACATTATATCATACACATTACGAGTTTGTACACTAACATGAGAACGACTAATGGGAACATGACTGAACAAAATTAGACACTCACATAAGTACATTCAACCATTCCATTGAAACAAACACAGTCATCACAGGAATTTCCATACTGCACTGTAGTACCATTTGGGTAGATTGTACCGTTGGATTTACAAGGATGTGCTGAATAAGGAAGGAAAGAGAAATGTTGTGTCATGAAAACAAATCTACTGTGATAGTTAATATTCATTGTAAAAAAAGAAACTAAAGATATCTGTGTGACGAAACATAATATAGGTTCTTGTTCTTATCTGATATTTGTCAAAAATATAAGCCATTGTATTATGAACAGAATTGCACAATGGGTATTGATTAATTAATTGCTCCTTAACATCAGCTGATAATAACAATATAATGCGTAACAAATGATAATATTTTCAGCCTGTACATCCATCTGCACATTCAATTACTAGTATATGCATTCAATTAATCCAAGCAAATACCCCCGTTATGCAAGGCAATCATATGAGCAATCATCGTGTGATTAATTGTGTGCATATTTTCTGTAAAAAGTCTAATATACTCTACCTAAATCACAGTGGACACCTCCCCAGGCACCGTCACACTGGCATATGTATCCATCGACTCCATCAACACAAGTTCCGCCATTATGACAGGGGTCACTAGCACATTCATCTATATCTGAATAATAATAATACTAATAATAATACTAATACTACTAATAATACTAATAATAATACTACTACTACTAATAATAATAAATTTGAAATGTGAAATATCAAAGTGATATTTACTAAGATGTATACATTGGTATATATTAATATTCAATACTATGATATCATTCTCTATTCGAATACTATTATGTTTTCAAATGCTCATCTGTTTCACAATTTAACCCTGTATATCCTGGTAAACAGATACATTCATATCCCAACGATATGTCCCTGCAACTTGCACCATTTGGACATGGGTTGCTAGAACAGTAGTATCCTAAAATAATACTGGTACTTATATTATTTTTTTCATTTATGAAATAATATATAATCCAACAATTATAACATTTAAACACATCTTTAGAAACATGATTGGTTTTAACTCTATTTTACATAGAGCACATGTGTATGTAATATCATAAATGAAACATTGTCAAACTTCATAATACAAACATTAATCAAAGATGTTATTAGCTCACCAGAATCACAATTGTCTCCTTCCCATCCATCTGCACAATCACAATGATATCCATTCACTTCATCAATACAGGTACCTCCATTGTGACATGGGTTACTCTGACATTCATCTATATCTGTGAATACAAGACAATATTTAATTAATAATAATATTTTCAACTGACAGAATGTTTGTAATTTAAACAATTGACGATAACATGTCCTACTCACCAGAATTACAATTGTCTCCTTCATATCCATCTGCGCAATCACAATGATATCCGTCCATTTCATCAATACAGGTTCCTCCATTGTGACATGGATCACTCTGACATTCATCTATATCTGAGAATATAAGGCAATATTTAATTGATAATACTATTCTCAACTGACAGAATGCTAGTAATTTAAACAATCGACGTTGACATGACCTACTTACCAGAATCACAATGGTCTCCTTCCCATCCATCTGCACAATCACAATGATATCCGTTTACTTCATCAATACAGGCCCCTCCATTGTGACAGGGGTCACTTTGACATTCATCTATATCTGTGAATATAAGACAATATTTAATTAATAATAATAATCTCAACTGACAGAATGTTTGTAATTTAAACAATTGACGATAACATGTCCTACTCACCAGAATCACAATTGTC